ACGTCACAACCCGCGGCAGAGACCACAGCAAGCCCGGTCGACACCACGGCAACAAAAAACGGCAATGATGGAACTGCTACCGACATAACGCCAAAGGCGGCGGTAACAACGACAACTGGGAGTGATGCAAAGGAGACCGCAAATTCAACCACCGACTCTACACCAACAACCTCCAGCATACTGCCAACGACAACACTCACAAATTCTACGTCGTCTCTCAACACGACCCTTTTCAACAGTGAGTTATAGCTCTTGACTGGGCTTTGAATTTATTTTCAATTTATATGGCCCCTTCCAATTTCACTTGCTATTCTCGAAACATTTGCTAATGCCACTTTTTATAGCTACCATCCCGGATGGCCAGCTTCCCCTGCAGCCTGCTGTGACACCGGCCTGGGGCGTGGGCGGTGTCCTCATGCTTTTGACTGGTGTTGTTTACGCTCTGGTTGGCATTCGCAACAAGATGCTACACACGTTCTTTTCCACTGCTTACTTGGCCAGCCTCGGCACCACGGTCTTGGTCATCTACGTGATGTCGCCGCCCATCAGCAACGCCATTCAGGGGGCCTACCTGGTTGCAGCTGTATGCACGGGTCTCATTCTCGGCGGTATCGCGATCGTGTTTAAGGAAATCACTGAGGGTTTCGGCTGTCTACTCGGAGGTTTCTGCTTTAGTATGTGGCTTCTGTGCGTGCGCCAGGGAGGTCTCCTCCAGAGCTTGAGTGGCATCATCATTTTCATTGTCGCCTTCACCATCGGCGCATATGCATTTTACTTTAGCCACTGGACTCGTCAGTATGCGCTTATGGCTTGTATCGCATTCGGCGGTGCCACAGTTACGGTCATGGGCATCGACACCTTCAGCCGTGCTGGACTCAAGGAGTTCTGGGCCTATATCTGGCGCCTCAATGACAATCTCTTCCCACTCGGTGCCGACACGTACCCCATCACCAAGGGTATACGTGTGGAGCTTGCGGCGATCATTTTGCTATTCTTGGCGGGTGTTGTCTCGCAGCTGAAACTGTGGCGTCTGGTCCAGGAACGGCGCGCCAAGCGGGACGCCGAGCGTCTTGAGGACGAGCAAAAGCTGGCAAAGGAAGAGGAGAACGTCGGCCGCCAGGTCGAGGCGACCAACGCGCGCGACCGCGAGGCGTGGGAAGCGTCCTATGGCGACGGCACGTACGTTCCTCCGCCGCCGGCCACTGCAGACGACCAGCATGGTTCGGGTGACTCGGGCGTTGGCAGCATGGACAGCGAGAAGCAAACGGCCCGCAGCCAAACGACGTCGATCTATCGGCAGTCCCGGCGGCCCTACAGCGAGGGCGAGAGCGAGCCCCAAGAGGAAGCCGGTTCGATCGAGATGGCCGACATGCAGCCCTCGCCGCAGATCTCGCAGCAGCCCAAGGCCGCCGCCGAAGTCGTCATGGAGCAGGATGCGCAGGACGGTGGGGTTATGGTCCGCGTTGCGCAGGACGAGTACCCTGGTGGCCTGCCTCCTCAGGAGCCGGAATCTCGCCGCTCTTCGCGCCGGATGTCTGCTCAAAATGCCGGCGCTGCGGTTGTGTCCAGCTCTCCCGGCATTGTACCCCTTCCTTTCAAAGTCCCTGAAGGTGGTGCCGAGGACGAAAGTGACGAGATCAACAAGAAGACGCGTGACGACCGGTCATCTGTGGCTACTTTCGCCGACGAAGACGAAAAGACGGCGGCCGCAGCCGTGTCGAGAAGAACCTCTCGGACTCCCACAACTCTTGCCAAGCGTTTCTCACAAAATTCCGCTGGCTTGCTGCGTAGCATCTCGCAACGATCCAAGCGTAATAGCGGCGTTCTCGAAAAGAACAGCCCAGACCTTGGCGGCCAGAGCCAGGAAGAGCTCGTGTCGCCGCGGTCCAGTCGGATGGCCTTCCGTGAGGACGATGACAACAGCTCCCTTGCCGTGACGATGGATGGTATGAGCTCCGACGAGGGCGACGATGACCGGAGCACGATCCGAGACGGCGAAAGGAACGAGAAGTCCAAGGATATCGAGGTGAAGCCAGTGCTGTCCGACGGTTTAGCCAACAACGATGACGATACAGCTAGCCTGAAGCCTCCGCGAAAAGTGCTCGCCGACAGCAAGCACATTTCGGCTGCAACTGTGTCCACAGAAATCCTGGGAGTGACGTCCTCCACTACGGCAGGCGAGGCAGAGACGACGGACGCGACAGAAACTCACGACATAAGTGACCTTCCGCCCAAGTCGCCAACCGTCCCTGCAGCGAAGTCAACCGTCTCGGGTGACTCGGCGCCTGCCATGCTTACCAAAGACCGCCTTCCGCGGTCGCTGTCGCGCGTCGCCATGTCGTACCGCACAAATGAGTGGGCCAAGCACCTCAGCAATGCGGAGACGCCCGAATTCGAGACACTGCAGCTCGGTGAACCTCAACTGCCGCCGACTTCGCCTACAACTTCTACTCATACCAACGCCAAGCGCGCTTCCGGGACAAGTGAGACGCCAGTGGCCTCGCCTGTTGTTGACGACGGAGAGGCTCCTGCTCCTCTCAACGTGGTCGACCTGCAACAGACGGCCGAAACAGGAGCTCCCGCACCACTTGCACCACGGTCAGCGTCGGCCATGTCGTCTTACGGAATGTTGTCGCAGTCCAAGTCTTACCAGTCCCTCGGCGCCCAGGATTCGGCGGCGCCTGACGGTGCCGGTGCACGAGGCAGCCACATATCGACGGCCAGCACTGCCGCAGCTGGAGTTAACAGTCTTGGCAACGGATATCGCAGCATATCGGCCAGCCAGCTCACCAACCGAGTTTCGGGCCTCCAAAATGAGCCGATTGCGGAAGAAAATGACGCGGCCACCACAGCCGACGGCGCTGGTGAGGGATCGGAGGAGGTGATGCCGAAGATGGTTTCCTCGCCATTTCCCAGTCGTGGCAGTATGCAAGCCGTTCCTGGTGTCGTCTCGTTTAACGCACCTCAGACGTTAATCGGCCAGCGCGATATGCTACTTCGGAGCAAGTCACAACAAGGGATGTACATTGGCGGCTCGATTGTCAACTCGGCTAGCATGGCAAGCCTTACAACAGCCGGCAACACAGGCAGCATGACTATGCTTCCAGGTGCCGGCGTGGTGCCGTCATCGGGTGCCAGCGATGGTGGCAGCGGTTCCATATATAACTTTTACCCGGGAGCCGGGGCTATGGGATCTGCGTCGAATGTGGACCTCGATGACCTTCCGATGAACCAGCGTCGCGAGCTGATGCGCAACAGTAGCTTAATGAGCCTCTCGCGACCCGACAGCATCAATGCCGGATACTTTGGCCACTACAATGGCGGCCTGCCGGTTTCCATGTCAACGCCCGCTATTGTCAACAACGGCGTGTCAACCCCGACGGCTGGCAGCGTCCCATTCGACAGCCATCAGCCCAAGCGCGACCAGGCACACCTTCCGACGGCGGCGGCACGCCAAGCTCAGCTCGCTACGTTTCGCAGCTCGGTTGCGGCCGACCTGCGCTCGGGCGCAGCAGTTACAAAGAACAACCGCGAGTCCCTCACGTCGCCGTACCTAAACAGCAACAACGGCTTCGCATCGCCGCCGACGGGATATGGCCGTGAACAAGAGGTGCAGCAGAACATCAACTTGCAGCGCAACTTCCTTATGGGCCAAAAAGAGGCCGAGGCGCAGCGTCGAGAGCTTGAGCGCGCCGAGAAGGAGCGCAACGAGCGTGCCTTTGAGGAGCGCATGCGGCGGGGTGACCTGCTCGAGGCTCACCGCGATGCGATGCGGCGCATGCAAGCATCGGCCGGGAAATAAACCCCCCTAATTTCAGATGACATCTCATCCCGACTTTCATTGACATATTTCCTATTTTCTTTTTATTTTCCTGCCTCCATTGTGTCATTCCCACCTTCATTCCCATTTTTCATTTCCATCTTCCTTTTTAATTTTCTTTGTCAAATTCTTTTCTTACTCGATACCAAGGAACACGGAATTTTAGAAACCACATTTTATAGGGGCCCATATCCGGAATAGCATAACATGGTGGAACAATCATCTTTGGAGGTTAGCCAGATGGGCCAAACCGATTTTATTTTCGACTTCATTCTTTTCATTATCATTTTTAAAGGGTATAGCTTCTATCTTTTATCTTCTCTATTTATATTCATAATTTTTTGGCTTGTAACAACACCAGATCTATTTTGAACTTAAAGACCTTACGCCGAGACCTGTTGATATAAAACTCCGGTCCAGGGACAGACACCTCGAGTGAGAAGCCTAGTGCTGCCTGTTGAGATCGAGCTCGTGTGGAGCGCAGCATGAATAATAGGCCAGAAAGTGGGTCACCAGTGACGTACCTGAATCGTGAACAACGAGAGACGCAGCGCAGTTTTGCGCTAAGAAGAGCCCGCTGAAAGACCGCCCGCACTCCTACAGTTCCGGTTCTCGCTGTGCCAAAACACTACCTGCTGAGAATCGCACAGGCACCGAAGCGCAAAAAGATGCAAAGCCCGCAATACAAAAGACAGCCTCTACGGAAATCAGCCAACTACCGCCACTCCGTCGTGCCTAGAAGGCAGAACTTGCCTAGACGGCAAGCAACTAGCGAAACGCCCGTGGCTGCTGCTTACTCGTTTCCAACACGGAATAAAAGAGAAAAGAGCTCCCGAAAGCCCCTCATCTTTTTTCTCATCCAGCAATCTACAACAAAACTGAGCCTTCCGTTTCGTTTTCAACGATTGAGCATCATAGACGTCTTTTCACCTTAACCTGCGTTTTTTTCTCCGAGAATTGCCTTCTTGTCTTCACCATTTCAACCTGTTCCTCCACCTGGGTGTCAATTTCTGCAACACAATTCGACTGCAGGTGGACCTTTTCCTCTTGCGATCCATGCAACACGCTACATCTAGCTGCATCCATACGCTGACGACGTCGTGTACGTCAATTGACCTCGTTCGCTTCGGCCAACATCTTTAATTTCAGAACGGCATCCGTTGACTTACGCTCCGCAGCAATGTCGACGAATCGTGTGCTTCGTGGCGGCTGCCAATGCGGCCGCAACATGTATATTGTCCAGCCGCCATCCGACGCGGCCGAAGTCGCGCAGGTGCTCTTCGACCCGGCGCCATTGCACCGTAGGTTTACGTCTGTAGCCATTGTTTTCTGCACCCACCTGTCCTTCGTTTGATAACTAATTGCTTCTTCGCGCCTCAGGCTTGTCACTTGCTTCGCCTCTGCCAACTTACCTCCGTGTGCCGCTCGCATGGTACCACAGCACGGTGCTCCCCTTCTTCCCCGACGAGACCCACTCCATGATCCATCGCTCGTACGAGCACCCAGGCCAGACCAGCAGCGGCACCCGGCGGCATTTTTGTGGATTCTGCGGCACGCCGCTGTCGTTTTGGTCGGAGACGCCGGCATCCGAAGCCAACTACATTCGACTGGCGCTGGGCAGCTTGAGCACGGAAGACCTGGACGAGCTCGACGAGTGGGCGCGTGCGGGCGACACAAGTGATAACGACGATGACGACAACGACGACGACGATAACGACGAGGAGGAGGAGGAGGAGGAAAAGGACGACGACAACGAAGCAATGCAAGAAGAGGTTCCGCGGGAATCGCTGAAGCGCAGCAAGCCCGAAGGAACGGCGCTGGGTCGCGTCACGTCACTGACTGGCCTTCCCTGGTTCGACAGTTTTGTTGAGGGTAGCCGTCTGGGCCGCCACCTCTTGCGGCAGCAGAAGCAGCAGCAGCAGCTCCAACGACAGTCGCAGAGCACGGGCCGAGCACACATTCGGCGGCACGACGCCGGGTCGGCTCAGAGCGCCGACGGCGCCGTGCAGGTCGAGTGGGAAGTGCTGGAGTGGACCGAGGGTGATGATGACGACGGCGATGGCGGCCAGGGCAAATCGGCACCGCGCTCATCCGAGGCAAGCCCTGCAAAACGAGCCAGGTTCGGTGAAGGCGATGATTAATCTCGGGCGTGGACGAACAATTGAGGGCGAGGTCGAATCCTTTTTTTGCATCGTACATTGGCTGTCATTCTGGGCGCACGTTGGTGAGGCGTCGGTTATCCGAAGGTGATTTTGGGTACGTCTCCGAGAGACGCATTATTGTTATTGTTATGGTTCTGGTTCTGGTTCTGGTTCTCGTTCTTGTTCCGGCAATGCTTTGGATTTTGCTTCTGCTGTTTTTCAATTTCCGTTACACGGGCAACATACGTTGGCAGCCCTATTTTCTGGCGTCTTGACGAAAGGGTTATTTTGCATGAGATATATTGAGGTAAAGGATGCGGTAGATCTTCGTTAGTATTTCGAGTTGTCCAACATGGAGTCGATTTGCAAAAGCGTTTGTTCCACTTTTACGGTACTGCTGATGTCGAGGTCCATGGCCAGGGCTCGCACTCTCTCCGTCGGCAACGTGTCCTGGCCTCGAGTTGATAGAGCTCCATAATACATAAAACAGGATCTGGCCTGGCCAAGCGCCGGTGATCTGCCGACTGGCCGCCGGGCCCAGGCCAGAACGTCCGTCGGCCGCCACGGGACGCGGGAGAGGTGAGGGTCGGTTGGTGAGGCGACGAGTGTCTTAGTGGAAGCACGATATAGCCCGTTCCAGGATGGGCGGCACCACGCCGCCTGATATATGTGCGATACTCCATGCGTGATAAGCTCCTACCTTGCCTGCGTTCCTTACCTCTGCTGCATTTCCTGCCTTGGCGTTTTCGCTTAGAATACACTCTCCTTCTCGCTCGTGCTATTTTGGCGTAACGGCACTTTGTGCAACTCTCCGCAGCTTCCGAGGCTCTAACAAGATTCCTCCGTGGATCTCCCAGGATCCCACCACACGCACATTTGAGCCGCATTGCACGAAATGCTTGTGGTAAGAGACTTTGCGTGCCACACTCCTTCTAGTGCCTGTAGTATTCCATTTTGCACCGCAACGTAAATCTCGCCGACTTTTGCGGCTGGTCTCCCGTGCCGGCAGATACTTGTTCCGCTGAATGCACCTTCGAGGGCGCGACGTCTATGCGCGTTCTGTTGTGCGGTAAGAAAATCACCAAAGGGGAAAACAAAACGTCCGCTATGAGGACGGCAGGGCTCCAAGCCTTGGTTTGCGCAGCTGGGTCATCTTCCGTTTTTGCGTGCGGTTTGGCCCCAACGTTGTTGCCCAGGCCGAGATTCAGGCGGCGGCCCGCGACTCCGCCAGTAGCGTCGTTTAGATCAGTGGGTGAAAGTCGGCGAGGCGTGGGCTCTCCAGCACGACAGAGGCCACTGACGCTGTGCACCCCCGCGGTGGGGGTTTAGTTAACGGCAACAACAACACGCATTGCTCCACAGACGGAGCCCCTCCTTCCTGCTTCGCTCTTCTAGCCTCGCTCTTTCCCCTCACGAGTATATCCACTGTTTTATTCGATTGTGGAAGATCCCCTTTCGAAAAAGGAGGCAATTCAAGACGCACAACGTGACGGAACAAGGTGCAAACAGTCCGGCTGCCGCGCTCCGATGGCTTGGGGCCATGCCAACAACGTGGCAGGGGTGTGTCGCGTTAGCTCGTCAGCGATGCTAGCTTCTCCAAAATGTGTCCCCCCAAAATCAACGAAATCTCCAGCAGCTGTTCGGTGTCGACGGTCCGGCACGGTAGAACACAAGGAAGAATACGAACCAAGCAGAGAGGACTCTGCACTCTGCAGACGATTGCACAAGATACATGAAACCGGTATGTATCCATCCAACAGCCCAGGCCGGGCCCTTGGTCCCGTTCCCACAGGATGGGGCCCGCCCGCCAAGCAGCAGCATCATGTGTTCTGTCCTCCCGTTTACCGCTGCGCGTGGATGCACCTAGTTTGTGTTTCTCCCGTTTCCTTTTTAGTTTATTGCTTTGCTTTCCCGCTCTTTTGGTGCTTTTTGTTGCATTGACGGTTGCACTGTCTCTTGGTTGGCCCTGCCCTCGTTGTCTATATAAGATGGCGACCGCCAGCACCTAGCTCGAGGTTGGCCGGCCTCTGCTGCCTTGGCGTCTTGTTGATGCTTCCTTTTCATTTTGTTCCATTCTGGCCTGACTTCTCTCGCCGTTCATTATACCCCACTTCCAGTCTTTCTCTTCCTTTCCCAATTGGCATCCTACCGACACCTCATTGACCCCTCCGCCGCATATTTGATCAGTCTTCTGTCCGCCGAAATGTCTCTTCCCAAGGACTTCCTCTGGGGCTTTGCCACCGCCTCGTGTGTACCCTTTCCTCGATTTTTTATTCTTTTACCTCTTTCTGCGCGTATATGTTGCTAACCTGTGTGTCTTCTTCGCGTAGCTACCAGATCGAGGGTGGTGCTGACCAGGACGGCCGCGGACCGTCCATCTGGGACACCTTCTGCGCCATCCCCGGCAAGATCGCCGACGGCAGCTCGGGCGCCGTGGCCTGCGACTCGTACAACCGCTGGCGCGAGGACATTGAGCTGCTTCAGAAGGTCGGCGCCAAGGCCTACCGCTTCTCCATCTCCTGGTCCCGTGTGATCCCCCTCGGTGGCCGCAACGACCCTGTCAACCAGAAGGGTCTTGACTTTTACGTCCAGTTCGTCGACGCGCTGCTGGCCGCGGGCATCACGCCCCTCGTCACACTCTTCCACTGGGACCTGCCCGAGGGTCTCGAGCAGCGCTACGGCGGTCTACTGAACCGCACCGAGTTCCCCCTCGACTTTGAGCACTACGCCCGCACCATCTTCGCCGCCCTGCCCAAGGTCAAGCACTGGATCACCTTCAATGAACCCTGGTGCTCGTCCATCCTCGGCTTCAACACGGGCTTCTTTGCCCCTGGCCATACGTCGGACCGCACCAAGTCGGCTGTCGGCGACAGCGCTCGCGAGCCTTGGCAGGTCGGCCACAACATTCTGCTGGCCCATGGCCGCGCTGTTCGTGCGTACCGCGCCGACTTCAAGCCCGCCAGCAACGGCGGTGAGATTGGCATCACCCTCAACGGCGACGCCACGTACCCGTGGGACCCCGAGGACCCTGCCGACGTCGAGGCCTGCGACCGCAAGATTGAGTTTGCCATCTCCTGGTTCGCCGACCCCATCTACTTTGGCCACTACCCCGAGTCGATGCGCAAGCAGCTTGGCGACCGCCTGCCCGAGTTCACCGAGGAGGAGCGCGCGATCGTGCAAGGGTCCAACGACTTTTACGGCATGAACCACTACACGGCCAACTACATCCGCCACAAGACGACGGAGCCCGCCGAGGACGACTTCTTGGGCAACTTGGAGACGCTCTTCGAGGACAAGAACGGCAACAGCATCGGCGAGGAGACGCAGTCCTTCTGGCTGCGGCCGCACCCGCGCGGCTTCCGCGACCTGATTGTGTGGCTGAGCCGCCGCTACGGCAACCCCAAGATGTACGTGACCGAAAACGGCACGAGCATCAAGGGCGAGAACGACCTAAGCCCCGAGGCCGTCGTCAACGACGACTTCCGCGTGCGCTACTTTGACGGCTACGTGCGCGCCCTGGCCGACGCCGTGCGCGAGGACGGCGTCGACGTGCGCGGCTACATGGCCTGGTCGCTGATGGACAACTTTGAGTGGGCCGAGGGCTACGAGACGCGCTTTGGTGTGACCTATGTCGACTACGCCAACGGCCAGAAGCGCGTGCCCAAGAAGAGCGCCTTCTCGCTCAAGCCGCTGTTTGACAGCCTGATCAAGACGGAGTAAGAGTGCAGAGTGTTTCCTGATATACACATCTATTTTGTTTAGTGGGACACGGTTCTTGGATTTGGTCAAGGATATCACGGTTATGTTCTACTTTTTCTATTGTTTTGGGTATATGTTTCCCCGTTTCTTGTTGGTTATTTTCAACGACTATTTTTTGCTTTTTCCCGGTCTTACGAACTCGGCCGGGAGCAACGAATGCTCGCCTCTTGCAGCCATCCTGTGCGTTGTGCTAGTTGCGTTATCTGTATCTTGCAATATGTGGCACAAGCTTGAGCCCATCCTTAACAAACGCTCTGGCGCAGTCTGGTCCAGTTGGAGGCAGAGGCAGCCAACTGTTGGGGTCATAACGTGTCCCTAGCTGACGAATTAACCCAATCATTGATAGGCATGTCCTCACAAGCGATAGAGACACAGCCATTCCACTGGCGCGGCTACCATCCATCTCACATGCCTGTAGGATTGCAGAGAGTCATTGACGCTATCCCCACAAAGACCCCGGATCAGAGCTACCACTACCACATGCCCACACAGAGCCGCCGTATTGCCGAGCGAATACCCACGTACAGCCATTTCTCGGCGTTGGAGCTGTTGCGACCTCAAAGGCTCCGCAGCCCCGAGTCGCGAGACCGAAAGCATCGGCGACAATCTTTCTTTTATTTCCTCACCTTGTTTTATTGCCGATGGTTCTCGCTTGGCTTCTCCTTGGCGTTCCTTAAGTCTATTCTTTTGTGTTTTGTCTCTCGTTTCTTGTTCCCTCTTGTCCTTCTTCTCCCTCCTACTCGCCGTACTTCTCGTCATCGCATCGCCACATTCCGCCTCGATCAAACCATCCTCTCGTCTCCTCGCCTCTCCCTTCGTCCGCCCTACACAATGTCTGGTCCCCAGTCCCGTCTCGGGTCGGTTCTGAGGCACCTTGTTGGCACCAACGGCTCCGCCGACCCTGCGCCAACCTCTACCGCCTCCACAGCGTCGTTGCCCGTCTTCAGGCACGTCCTCACGCCGACGACTTTCCTCGAGCGTGCCGCTGCTATCGAACCCGATGCCGAAGCCATTGTCCACATCACCGCCAACGGCCGCACTCTGCGCCGCAATTATGCCGAGTTTGCCGACCGCGCCCGCGGCCTCGCCTGGTACTTTGCTCACCACGGCTACCGCCGCATCGGCATCCTTGCCCCCAACACCCCGGCGTTCCTCGAGACCATCTTTGCATCGGGTGCCGCAAACGCAGTGCTGGTCCCGGCCAATTACCGCCTCATTGCGGCCGACGTCGCCTACATTTTTGACTTTGCCGATGTCGACATTATTGTGGCCGACGCCCAGTGTGCGCCGCTGCTCAGCGAGGGAAGCCAATGCTATACGTCCATGCACCCGACGGTGCCAATTTTGGTCGACGACGACGTTGATACAACCCAGGGTGAGCTGCGAGGTGCCTTTGACACGGCCGTGCTGGAGGGCCTGCAGTTTGAAGCGCACCGCCCGGACGTTGAGGACCGCACCTGGGCCGGCCTGCACCGGTTCGTGGCCGCTCAGCCAGGCTATAAGCCGGTGGATGAGGATGACACCATTGCAATCCCGTTCACATCGGGGACCACAGCGAGGCCCAAGGGCGTCGAGTATACGCACCGCGGCGCGTACCTAGCGGCGCTTGCCAACGTGGCCGAGGCAGGCCTCAACGCACAGGACGATCACAACGACAGCGGCAGTGGCAGCAAGCCTGATCGTTGCCGCTACTTGTGGACCCTGCCCATGTTCCATGCTGTTGGCTGGACGTTCCCCTGGTCTGTGTGCGCCGTGCGTGGCACCCACGTGTGCCTGCGCAAGATCGACTACCCCCTGATCTGGAAGCTGCTGCGCGAGGAGGGCGTCACTCACTTCAACGCAGCGCCGACCGTCAACACGTTGCTGTGTGCGGCGACAGAGGCTATGCGGCTGGAGCGCCCCGTCAAGGTCACTGTAGCCGCGAGCCCACCGACCGCCCACCTATTTGAGCAGATGGTAGGTCATCGCCCTCCCCCCTCTCCCGTTTCGCTATTGACAATGGTATTTTGAATGCATTGAACCTTGCTCATCTAACGCTGTGGACAGACCAAGCTAAACCTCCATCCGGTCCACGTTTACGGCTTGACCGAGACCTATGGCCCGATCACCCGCGGCTACATCCTCCCCTCGTGGAACAACCTGCCCGGCCAACAAAAGTTTGAGCGCATGGCCCGCCAGGGGCACGGCTTCTTGACCAGCATGCCGGTGCGCGTCATCAAGACCGACGAGGACAGCAACCCCGTCACGACCACCAACAAAAAGGGCGAGGTCACGTATGTCGACGTACCGCGCGACGCCCGGACCATTGGCGAGATTGTCTTCCAAGGCAACATTTGTGCCAAGGGCTATTTCAAGGACCCGGCCGCCACCGAAAAGTTGTTTGCCGGCGGTGTGCTGCACTCGGGCGACTTGGCGGTCATGCACCCCGACGGTAGCGTGCAGATTCTCGACCGTGCCAAGGACATTATCATCTCGGGTGGCGAGAACATCTCGTCCGTGGCGCTCGAGAGCATTCTGGTCCAGCACCCGGACGTGCTCGAGGCCGCGGTCGTGGCCGTACCCGACTCGCACTGGGGTGAGCGGCCCAAGGCGTACCTGACGACGAAGCCGACGGCCGAACCGGGTCGCCCCGGTACGCCTCTGGTTATTGATGAGCAGGCGTTCCTGGACTGGGTCAAGCACCAGAGCGGCATCAGCCGGTTTATGGTGCCGCGCGAGATGGAGGTCGTGACCGAGCTGCCCAAGACGAGCACCGGAAAGCTGCAGAAGAATGTACTGCGGCAGTGGGCACTCAAGGGTACACCAGACAATGTCAAGATAGCGCACTGAGCCGTTGAGCGGGCCTCGGGTGTACACTCTTGCATTGATTGTCGTGTTGTCTTCTGCATAAAATCACGTCTTGTTTATTGCCACTATTTTTGACTTTGTCTCGGCTTGTCTTTTCTTTGGCCTGGATATAACGGAAAGGCCATATGGTCGTATATGCGGAGATCGGACCGCTCTTAGGTCGTGATTCACAGCAACATATCGTTTTGTTAACTTTTTTTTTGGATTAAATATGAATTCTTGTATAAGTTGGAAGTTGCTTAGTATTAGAAACAAGTAAGCTGGAAAGCCAAGCGGCGAAATCAGAATGGCAACTGTGGATGAGCTGCAACGCTGTGAAGACAAAAGCGTACAACAACGTGAATAGAGAACAAGACAAACACAAGAGATTAAAAAAACAGGAGAAGACAGCACTCTAAACGAATAACAAACCCAAATATCCATAATGACAAGGAGTTCTTGTCCCTGGGTTTTGTCGTCATTCGCTACTTCGCACCTCAGCCTCTGACGGAGTCCGGCTCTTTTGGTTCGATCGTTGGATGGACAATACCGTGGCTATTTGTCTAAAAGAACCTTTCGGGTTGTGCCTCGGCCTCGGACTCTGTCACTGCGGCCGACGGCGGTGGCAGGTCATCGCTGGCAGTGTAGTCGTCTTGTGAAAATTCAGAATTGTTTCTAGACGTGCTGTTGTTGCTACCAGCCGTGCGACCCTCTCCGTTATTTGCACTGCTCTTTCTCCTCGACCAAAACAGACCGCCAAGTGTCGTGCTTAGGCTGCGTGCCCGCGCGCGCGAATTCGTTGCGCCCTCTACTTTGGAAGACGCCGATGGGCCTCCCGATGTCTGAACGTCGCGTCGATCGGCGGCACCGCTAGATGGCCCGGCTGTGCCCGAGGGTCCAGCCACAGACGTCCCCACACGTGTCGATGTGGCAGGTCGGGATGCGTGAGGTATGCTAGGACCTGTAACGAATGCCTCCAGAGAGCCGCCATGTTGGTGGTATCGGTACGGATGGTTCTGGTTCTGGTTGTGGTTATGGTTTTGATTTTGATTTTGGTATACGGTGGACGGGTGCAAGAGCCTTTCGGCGTCGTCAAGGAGCAGCTCGTCCTGCGGTACAAACAGGCTCGATCGCAAACTCGGTCGGACCCGCCGCGTGGATGGCCGGCGTACTGCCTGAGGACTACCTCCGTCGAGGTGCTGGAGGATGGTGTCGGCCATGACAGCACTCATCGTCGATGACAAGAGGGGCGACGGCGAGATCATGGGGCTTTGGTGGAAGTATTGTGACGGTGTCTGGTGCGGCCGCAGCACAGCCGACGGTGTGACGGGCCGGTCGGCCTGTGGCGGCGCCGGTGACGAAGGTGCTGGTGCGTTGTCGCCAGTGCCAATCGCGTGCAGGACCGCATCGGCACTTACGGGTGATGGGCCAAGGCTGGGACGAAAGGCCCCGGCAGGCGTCGAGAGAGCTGCTGCATCCAGCGGCGATCCGCTCACTGGCGAGCTGAATGACGCGCTGCGCCACGGGTTTTCTAGGAGAGGTTGCGTTGGCTCCTCGCCGCCACTCTCCTGGTCGTCCTTGTATGTCAAGTAATCACCTGCCGCGTCAGCGTCCTGCGGTGGGTGTGGCTCCGAAATTCTCGGGACAGAGGTTGCTGCCAGACTGGGCGTCGCCAGAGGTGTGCGCTGTGAGGGAACACCAGTCTCTGTTGCTAGCGAAAGAGGTCGGTTGGTGAGCGTGCCGACGAAGTTGACACGGGAAGCGCGCGATGAGCGTCGAGATCCATGCCGTACCGTCGAGCGCCCGGTTGGTGTTTGTGGTGCACCGTCTTCCCCATTGTTTGCCTGCGCCGCGAGGTTGATAGACTCTCCCGGTCCGTCGGCAACGGACAGGTCATCGTCGTCATCTTCATCGTCGTCCGTGCTTGGACGGCCGCTGGTAATGACGAAGACGCCGAAAAACGTCAACAGACACCCGCCAACGAACTTGGCTGCCTGTTCGACGGTGGTGCGTTCAAAGTCGCGGTATAGGACAGCACTGCCAATGATGACACATAACGTGAACATAACAAACTGAATTGGGATGACCTGCGTCGAGTCGAAACGCTGCAGGGCCTTGTTGACGTAGCGGACCTGCATCACGGCCGTTCCCAGCAAGATGATCAAGAGAACGTAGGTCATGGGGGTGAGAAAAGCCCCTAGCAGCGTCGAGGAAAGCATGGACGAAACGCCCTTGGTAGCCAAGACAGTATAGCCGCCTGGAATTCGTGTTAGATACGCTGGAGGAAAACAGGAGATTGAAGACTGTCAGTAGAAAAACTCACCAAACAGACCGACCAGCCCCAGGTCAATGAGAATGGACCGGTTGCCATACCGTGGGCTGGCCCACATCAGCAGCGCAATAAGCCCGCAGGTGACGCCCACGTAAATCTCAAAAGCCGCCGTCGTGATGGCATCCCACACGTCGTGCGGGTTGAGCTTGGTCTCTTCCTGCTTGGCGCTCAGGACGACTGTGACGGCGCCGGCGATGGCGATCACAACGCCCCCAAAGTCGCGCTTCCGAAACGACTCTTTAAACAGGATGGGCGCAATCACGCAGTTGGAAATCAACGCCACGACGCCCAACGGAGACACGATCGAGGCGGGAGCAAAGCCGTAGGCCAGAAAATTGCCCATTTCGCCAATGGTAATCAGCACTTGGCCCAACCACCAGTACGGCGATCGCAGGTACGACTTCGACTGCAGCGAGTTGGGATCGGAGTCCGACAAGGTCGATTTGCGGCTCTCGGAGTCGTCGCGGTGGTAGTCTGCCGTCAACGGGTCGGATTCGTGTGCAGGGTGGCCGTCGCTATTCGTGTCGCCCTCGTCGTCCGCCTCGTGCCCATCGCTTTCATTGTGTCGATTTTCGTTTCCACTACCACTTCCTTCCACGGCTCCATATCGTCCCCCATTGCCATTTCCGTGGCCGGCTCTGCTGTCGAAACTGCCTCCTTGCCGCTTCTTCTTGTTCGTGCCCCCGTTGCCGTTTGCCGCATCCCTCAGCGCCTGGCGTGCTCGTTCTCGGTTCCGCTGCTGCTCCTTATGCAACTGAATGTGGGCATAGCGCTGCACATTGAGAGCAAGCGCGATCAACACGTTTCCCACAATAGCCGTCACAATGCCAATCAGCGACGACCAGTTGCTTGGCAGCTCGCCGCCCGGTCCATCGCCAGATGTGCCGTTGTTGTTCGATGCGTCGAAGCCAGAGAACGCTGGCCATAATGCAGGCAACAGTGGCAACGGCAACGGCAGCGGCGGAGGCGCCGTTCGTATTATGTACATTTTGTCGTCGTGTCTCTGGAAGGCTCAAACGCGCAGAATCGCGCAAGGCAACACAGCCAAGCTCAGCGTTGGAGCGCCACCGTTGCGGGTGACTATCGACAGCTCGAGGGTCGACTCGTATGCATTTGGACAGGTTTGTAAGGGCGTAAAATGGGGTGCACCGGGCAGAACGAGTATGTCGCAGGTCGTGGGAGTCCCTTGCACCCCCAGTCGGGTTGGTGCAGTTTAGTTCGTTGGTCGGAGTTGGACGGTCGACGTCAGAAAACGAGGCTTTTCGCGTGTCACCGTGATGCAGTCGGAACCAGCCAGCCAGTGTCCAACCGTCGGAGAGAGAGCGTAACTGTTGCTCCCCCACTGGGAGACGATCGAGAGCGAGATGGAGAATTGAAGCTCGGACGAAAGCCACAACCAGAGAAAGAGAGTCGAAATGAGTTCTCCGTGAGGTGGATTGGCAGTTTGTTGCCTATTCCATTGTAAGATACGGCCCCGTTCGGACAAGATTCGTCATGGCAGGAGCTAATGATAGGTGCTGAGAGCGCCTGCCGACGGCGCGTAGTTAGCGCAACATCGTGCTTTATCAGGCACGTTTAGGGGCATATTAGGACCGCTTTAGGGCTTGCTGTTTCCTTCTTCCAGAATAAGCGGTTTTGCGCGTCGCACCTGCCATTTGCACTGCTGGGAAGGTGTGCATGGGCACAACATAGTGGTCGGATTCCAAAAGCAGAAGTGGACCCACTTTCTCTGCGAGCCATGCCTTCCTCCCCGTTAACACCCTGGAATTTCCGTTCGACCCGGGCGCCTCCCCCGCTTTTGGCTGCCTGAGACCACTGATGAGCAGAGCGTGGCGGTTTCCCAGGCCTCTTCCCATTTGCGAGTCTCTTTTCGCCTCTTTCGGGTCCTTTGATATTCTTCCGGGCTGACGGCCTCGACGACGACACACCCAGCACCGTTAATCTTTCAACAAGAACGCTGCGAGACGCAACCCACCAAGCACAGCCATCTTCAACAACATCTCATGCCCTGACCAAATCACCAGCATTGCCCCTCCTACAGACAACGTCATAGCCCACCGCCACCATGGGAGAAGACAACGACCCTCCCAAGAACCCCTTCATCCGGTGGAAGCAGCATGTCGACACGCACATCGGCACCACGCTCCACGGCTTGCTCGGCATCCCTAACATGGTATCCAAGAACCTCAACATCCGCGGAGAATCTGATAAAGGGCCCGACACCAGCCCTGCCAGCGGAACACAGCCCTCGTCGTCGTCTAACACATCTCAATCGCCCGCACCGCCGCAAACGAACGATAGCTACCACTCCGCATTTCCACCACACTCTTCTCTTCCCTCCGACAACGACGACTCGCTCGATGGCGTCGATGCCAGCCAGCTGCTAGCGTGGCACAAGTTCATCTACTACTCGCCCTACTCGCCGCTCAAGCTCCAGCAGCAACAGCAGCTCCACCTCCTCCCGCCGCCTGTCCCCCAGGACGTCCCGTTCGGTGCCGACCCGTTCGCCTTCACCTACGCCGATGCCTTTGAGGACCTGCTGCGCTCCAGCAGCGGGCGGCCGCTTCTCGACCTAGCCGACCGCTCGTACCGCAACCTTCGCTACCAGATGCGCTACGGAAGTGCCATCGAGCCGCCGTATGTTTTCTTCCATAGGATGCACAGCCAGCGTCTTCTCGACGCCTACTTCCCGCGCTCATCCGTGGCAGGTGGTAGTGCCGAAGCGGCCACTGGTGAGGCAAACACGCCACGTGACGACGTTGTGCGCGCGGTTGCTGCACTGGCAGAGCGGGACCGGGACCTGTGGAGAGAGCAGCTGGAGGAGGAGGACGCCGACAAGAACTATGAGAATGAGGACGAGAACAAGCATGAGGACGAGGACGAGGACGGGCACGAGCACGATGCCGAGCACGAAATCAACTCTGGACAGTGGGATGACGATGCGGACGTGAACAAGACCGTCTCGCACAGCCCATGGAACCAGACGCAGGAGACCCGGGACGCCGGGTACGGCGGCAGATTGTTTGACGAGCTAGACCGGGTCTTCCGTGTTCTGAACCGCATCATTCGCGAGGAGACAGGTGGGTCTACAGACGACACCAAGACAGATGGCGCATCAGCGGCCGAAAAGAACGAACCCAGCGCGGAAGACGAGCTCTACAACGCAGTACGCTCGGCGTATGCCAATGCCGAGAAGTCGCTTGGGACGCTGATCAAGTCGTTCTCGGGCGGGTTCGACGCCGAGGGCCGTTGCTCACGGTCTTCCTCCTCCTCGTCCTCGTCCACGACAGAGACATCTGTAGTCCGAGGAGGAGACCACTCGGCTGGAGACGGCGATGGGCGCCAGGGTGAGACCATCCAGACGACCGAGGAGCATGTCGACGCGTTTGGTAACCGCCATGTCAAGATTACGGTGCAGCGTCTCGACGCTGATGGCAACGAGGTGGCGCGGGAGACGAGGTACACCATCCGCTCACAGTCGCCGCAGGAGGCTGCAGCTTCCAAGGAGTTGTATGACAGCGATGATGACGAGAGCAACAATGGCAGCAAACAGTCCCAGGCAGGCGAGAATATCGGGACTACTTCGAAGCCGAGCAACAACAACAACGACGGCACGAAGAACTCGGGCTGGTTCTGGAAATAAAGGACATGGACAGCACAACAGGAGAAATTGCCCAGTTGGGGTCGTGGGCCTCTCATTTACTCCACTCATGACAACCTCGAGGAAGTAAAAGAATGTTTTGTGAAGGATACCCCGAGGATGTCACTTTGGTTGCTTTTTTTTATTGGCTTAAATATTATTGTCTCATGGGTTTTGGATCTAGCATGGTGGTAAATAGGTTTTACAACAGTTTTGGATATCACTAGTGTTTTTTTTGTATATAGCATACACACCGTGTTCGCTCTTTCATTAGTGTTGGATCGCATTTTTTTAATCAAAGAATAGCTTGTAACTGTCGCTTAATGACTGCCCATTGAATGTGACACAATAACAAATGCTTATTGAGCTCATTCATGATCCCTTGTCAAATTCCTGTGTAGAAGTAAAAACGCCATCTGCCATGCACAAAGTGACTTGGTCACTCTATATGAAATCATAAAGACGAGTTGTGGCCGCGTCAACCGTGAAGCGACGAGATCGCAACAAATGCATTAGTTTCGTTATTGCTGTTCCCCCACTCCTCCTTCACCTAGAGGATGTCTTGGAATTTTTTCGATTTCTTTCTGATTTAATATACGGTGTTTTGCTGCATGAGTGAATTTGAGAAATGTAGGGTGACAAAAAAAATGAATATACAAGAAGGGAGAAGGTGAAGTCATCAAGATAAGATCGGTTGACTACCATCAACTTTTTGTGATGTGTAAAATATTCAAAGACGATAGAAGGGTGAAAGTGGTATTGCGCCTATGGGTGTGCATAACAAAGAGCAAGACGTAGGATATAGTGACGTTTGGGAAAGCCCAGGATCTATGAAGCGTGAAATCGGACCAGGCTCATGACGGGTGAGATAACATAGGAAAAAAAGGGGGGACATCAAAAGGACCAGCGAGAACAAATAAAAAAAAACATTCGGAGCTGGGAACCGAAGAGAAAGGCACCTCTCCTAGTCATTCTTCCGAAGGTTTTGCAGGTACAAGGCGAATGTCCGCCGGTCCGTGGATGTCGTCAAGTTTCGCAAAAATTCGGCACCGTCACCAAGCTGTGTCAATAGAGTGGACTGCAGGTGCTGGATAAAAACGTCGCCCGTCTTGATGTAGATGGTCTGCTCCAAGCCAGCAATCTCGTTGAGCACCTGGCGTGACTGGGCATCCTTGCCTGGACGGAACTGCGAGTCCCGAAGCACATCCCAGCACGTGGAGTGGAAGCGGTCAATCACGAAGCTATCGAAACCGGGGATGCTTGGTGCAGGCGGACTGCCCAATGCAGGAGACTGCTCGCCGGTGTTTGTGCTGTTGTTCTGGTTTGCCGAGTTGGTCGTAGTTGACGCGGCGGACTTGCTGCTGGGGTTGTTGTTCGCGTTGTTGTTCGAGCCGGGTGGTGCCCGGATCACCGCCACGTCGGGACCACCCCACACGGAAGTCATACGTGCCAGGACACTGAAGGCGAGTCTGCTTCCAATCAGATTGCTGTGTCCAATAATTCTTGCAAGAGCCGTCACGGACGAGATCATAGTCTCAAAGAAACCTTGATTAGCCTCGCTGATCAGGACGCCCTCCAACTGGTTCGTCAGGATGATCTGCAGGAACGTCAAGTATTCACGACGTAGCTCAGCCAGTTGGATCTCGTCGTCCGTGCCAGAGATGGGCTCGGAGAGGCCTCCCAGCACACGCTGCAGGAGGGGAGTCAGCAGCATGTTGAGAACGTTGTAGATCTGCCCTTTGAAATTGTACACGACCTGCTCTAGCAGGCGCAGGAAGAAGGCCATCTCATCCTTGGAGGAGGTTTGCGATAAAAGGCCCTCGATCCACTGTGGCAATTGAGGCAGGACGGCGGCGCCCATAACGCCCAAGAGCCGTGAGAATGCGGAGCGGCAGGCGGCGCGGATCTCCGAGTTTGAGTTGAGCTCACCCAGCGCAATTAAAATCGCCTCAGCTGCCCTTGAGAACTCGCTCGAGATGGCCTCGTCCGGAGGAGGCTTGTTGTTGTTGCTGCTGCTGCTACCAGCACCGGGGCTGACTTGATAGTCAGAGAAACCGTACGCCAATGTGCCGAGAGCCATGATGATGTGGTGGATTTGCAAGATTGCCTGCGTATCGCCGGCCTTGGCACGCCGCAGGTTCCGCTCCATGTCTGAAAACAGGGGTTCCATCACCGAGCGGGCGTAGAGAGCCTGCTTGTCGGCCGGAGTGGCGTTTGTTGACGAGACACAGCCAATGGCCTCGTAAAGGTAGAGCTGGCCGTTGAAAAGGGCATCGGCAGAGTGATCGCTTTCGTCGGAAGACATGTCATCGTCGGCTTCGTCGTTAGGGACCTCGGCGCGGATGGGGAGGAGGTCGCTGATCGACTGGATAATCGTTTCTGCCACGTTGCCAACCTGCGACCGGAGCTGCTTCACGACGCGATGGAAGAGGTACCAAGACCGGATGCGGATGCGTGGGTGGTCATGGTGCGTTAGACGGACAAAGTTCTCCAGGGCGCGGGGGATGTAGTCGTGGTGGCTCTCGAAGAAGGAGCAGTACCGGTTGCAGATCTCCATGTACTGTAAGAGGACGGCAGGGTGCTGGAACTCAGCGATGCCCGACTCCATCATCTTGCCCATCAGCGCAACCATGCGTTCGGAAGCCGCAGCAGAGGCCTTGCTCTTGGCCGTCAGGCCCTGGTTCGGCAGGGTCAGCTCACCAAACAGGTCCAGCTCGTGCAGGGCCAGGTCGAGGTCGCGCCAGTCCATATTGGCGCCCTGCTGATCGAGCGACTGGAAGGTGTTGGCGATGAGATTGCTAAGCACATCGATATAGAGGTCCTGGTCGACTGCTGCCACGCTTTTTTGCAGGTTCTGTAGCCACTTGCGCAGCTCCTGAAACTCGGCCTCGTCGGTCTGCTCGTTTTCGCCGCCCCAGCTGCTCGTCTCATCGTAGCGCATCTTGCCGACAACAGCGTTGAGGATCGGGGCAAGCATGCCACGGTACGCTGGAGGCAGGTTGGGCACTTTCCGCAGGAATGTCAAGAGGTCGGTCAGGGCAGGGATCACGGTCGAGCAGACTTCGTCGTATTCGTCGGAGAAGAAGCGAAGGAGCAGCGGAAGGAACTCGTGCAGTAACGGCTCAGCGCGGGCGCGGGCATCCGACTCGACAGACGAGTCATCGAGGACGCGGACAATGTCACTGACGACAGTATTAACCAGCTTCGCGACAGCCTCGGCCAGGTCCGTGTCGTACTTGGGCGTCTTCTGGAAGTCGTTGAGCGGCGGGCTGGCGACCAGCTGGGAGACAACCTCACGCAGGTTAAGGAAGCCAATCATCTCAATCTTGTCACTAGGCTTCATCTTCTTGGCGACGACGTCCGTCACGGTGTCGATGGCCGCGTCGCGCACCTTGTCCTCGCCGCTGCCGGGGTTCGAGCGGCCAATGAGAGGGAACAGGAGGCTGAGCATGTCCTGGTTGATGACGAGCGAAATATCGATCCAGCTCACCCACTTCCCCATGATTTTCAGCGTCATCTCGAGGACCTGGTTGTTTTGGTTGCTGTACTGCATCAGCAGTTCCTGCCATGACCGCGCAATCTTGTGCATGTCGCGGTCGCGGACGAGATCTTTGAGGTTGTTGTTGCGCTTCACATCCGCGGATTGGCGCGCCATCATGACGTCGGCAATCTCGTCATGGACCGAGCTCAGCATACGCAGGTACAAGAAGACGCCAGCAACATTGTCAGGCTGTCCGCCGCCGTTGGGCGTGGTTGTTAAGGCCAAAAAGTCGTCGATGAACGTCTCCCAGCCCTCTTGATACGAGTAGACGAAGAGGTACGTCAGCGTCTGCGTGAGCTTGTTCTGCAAGGCCGGCGGGTCGACCTGCGTGTCGGGGTCGCCGCTTCCATATGTCCGCTGTATGTACTCGAGCAACGTGGTCTTTAGGAACGAGAGGCTGTTGCTGTCCAGGGCCTGGCTCTGCACGGCATTGTTGACGATTTCCAACGACACAAGACGCACCACCTCGGATGTTCGTGGTGAGCGGGTGAAGAGGGCCGCACACAGCTGCCAAGCCTGCGGATCCGAGCGCAATTGGTGGAGGTAGTCGAAGGCCTGGCCCTTGAGCGCGGTGTCCGAGGTTGGGCTCCAGGCAATCTCAATGGCTTGTTCAATCTGTAGAGGTGGGACGAAGGGACGAAATCAGCACTCAGCATAAGACAACAAGGCAACATCACCAAGGCATAAAAGCCATCACACCTACCTGCTGGCTGACTTGGCTGTCCATATTGGGCAGCAAAGTCCGGACGTATTTTCGGTATCTGAGGAGAGAGACAAGAGAGAGAGAGCAGCGGAGTGCCGTTCAAGGCGAGAATAGGCCTGGCGGCCGTCGGGCGTAGAGCGAAACCGAGGATGGATGTGGTCGGAGAGTCGGCGGCAGTGGATATAAGATTGTCGAGCAAAAATGCCGTGGCGGGGTTTACGTCTAAGCCCAAGGGTCGTCTGACTTCGTGGCGATTTCAAGATGCAGAGAGAGAGAGAGAGAGAGAGAGAGAGAGAGAGAGAGAGAGAGAGAGAGAGAGAGAGAGAGAGACAGAGAGAGAGAAAGAGGAGAGAAAGTGGGCGTGCTATGGACAACGCATGCCTAGCACCGAGGGCTGTTAGTTGTTGCGGAGACTGGAGAGGGGCGGAAGAGTGGTCCACCGGGGGGGGGGATGAGATGTTGTCGGGTTTCGCTGAAGAAAATTGACGAAGACTGCGAAAGGCTCGGTCTGGCGATGCTTGCTTAGTTGGGCTGTCGTGTAAAGTAAAGAAATATAGAAGACGAGATAGAAAGGAGAAGATGCCAGGGACGAAAGCAAAACAAAACAAATAAGGAAGGTAATGGGCTATCCAGGCGGCGTAGCAAGGCAGGCAACGGAGCATGAGCACACGATGCTTGGACCGTGGGGATGTTTCTTTGCGGCGGCTGGTGGACAACAGGCTGGTTGTGTTGGTGGTGGGCGGCGGTGACGAATCGTTTTTTGCTGTCCTCGTCTGTTTGGGAAATTTATTATTTCAATACGTGCCTTTATTTTTTCGCCCTCAATCTTTCACATAATATTTTTCGGCTCCCCTCCTTCCTTGGGGCGGTCTGCTTGTGCTTGACTGGTTTGGTGGGGTAGTAAAGGCACGCAGGAGGCTTGGCAACTGCTGTTCCTAGCGGTCCAGCGCCCGCCCCAATGGCAGAAAGCTGTTGTCTGGTTAGTGCAGCCTGACGTAGGCGGCAGGTGCGCAATTGCATGTCATTTGCAAGGGCCTCACGTGCTCTTCAACAAATGGCAACGCACCAACAAGTTGTGTCAAGAAGGGCTCCACTTACAAGAATGGCTGATCCAACTGTCAAACGTGAAACATATGGGACCGTTACCGAGAGTACTTTGCTTTTCAGGGCACATTTAATTGATATATAGAATGAATCGCCTTGAGAGAAACCCTGCTGACACAAGTGCACGCACCGGCCATGATAATACTTTTCCTTCTTTCAAAGCATAATAATGTTGACCAAACGCCCAAGCCGCAAATATTAACAAAAAGAAACAAAATAAAACAAAATAACGCGGCCGTACAAGAAACAAAAAGCAAATAAAGAACCAATAATGACGAGGTCAAAGGGTGAGATGTGGCCGCATAGACGACATGTCACGGCATCGATCTGCGGCAGTAGCGGCGGTAATACAATGAGAGTCCTCATAGGCCATTCCAATCATCTGCGCTCATGTTCGCTTTTTCTTCTTCGGGCGCTCTTCTTCCTCCTCCTCGTCTTCGTCGTCCATGTCGTCATCGTCATCATCATCGACGTCGTTGTCGACGTCGCTCTCGTCGCTTCCCGAACCGGAACTGTCATGGTTCGAGTCGTATTCCTCAGCGACATCGCTCTCCGACTCAGCCTGGAAGTCCTCGTCGACACTCTCCTCATCTTCGTCGGCTGAGCCGCGGTCGGCCCTAGCCGCACCCCCAGCATCGTCGTCGGAGCTGTCCATGGCCTGGTCGCGCAGGGCAGCGGCCATCATGTTCGACTCCTCATCGATCTCATTCTTGACGCGCAAGCCCTTGAGCTTGAAGAAATCCTCGAGCGCTTTCAGATCCTCCCGGTTGATGTTGCTGAACTGTGACGAAGCACCTCCGGCCTTCATATGCACCGTGATGTCAAACGTCGAGAGAGCCGAGACGGCGCCACCAACGCGTGAAAATGTAATGGACTGCGTCTGGTCGTAGGAAATGTACGACGCAGGCTTAGGCACAAACATGAATGCCTTTTCCAGACAGTACAGGAAACCCTCGCTGGCCTTGATAGAGCACTTAATACCAAACTGCTGCCGGTGACTGCAATGATATGTTAGAAAAGACAGTCGTGAAAAAAATGCACTAGGAAGAGAGAGCGGGAGAAGGGGATGTAAAAACATACGTGAGGAAGTCTTTTGCAGGGGCCGAAATTTTCTTATTAGCCAGGCCCTTGAATATATAGGTGACGACCTGGTGAAGAGGTTGTTCGTAGTGCGCCTGCAGCCTGTCCTTGTATCTGGACTCGAGCTCCTCCTCCGTCAGGTTCAGATCCAACGTGACCTCTTCGTCGCGCTTAAACTGCATGACGACAAAGGGGTAGCGGGTCTGGCCCTGGCGTAGGGGGGGGTCGAGGCCCATGCAAAGCATGACGTGCATATCGTCAGGCTTGGGGAGGACCATGAACTTCTTGATGGCATCGTATTGAATCTTGTAGTCGTACGTCTTGCCCCGTAGACGGAGCGACGCGTCGTACATGTCAATATCGAAACGGCCTCTCGGCGTGAGATGCAGGACATCAAGGAAGGTAGCAATGGTGTCACCAGCAGATTCGCCAATCTCGGCCTTCTCCATAAGTGTGTCGTAGAAGAGTGTCACCGCGTTCTTCTCCTCTTCTGCGTCGCTAGCGTTCGATGCAACGTCGCCGTCAGCATCGGCCTCCTTCTTCGTTGTCGTGCCCGGGATGTAAAAGCGCATCTCCATCAGCTGGTCCTTGCCAGCGGCCGCCTTAAGGCCTTTGACCGGACCCTTGGAGTTGCCGTTTGTCTTTGCATCTTCGTTAACGGAAAAGTCGACCGAGATTTCGTTCCGGCCGGCCAGGTTCGTGTTCGCAATCTCCGAGTACGGGATCTCAAAGAAAGGTCGGTTCTGCACGTTGAAAACAAGCTCGGCCTTGCTAAACTCGGCCTTGCCCCAGTTCCAGCCCCGGACGGAGTGTTCCCTGTTTTCGAGGTTGTGGCTGTACCAGTTCTTGAAGATCTTGTTCAGGCGCTCGTAATCCTAAAAAAATAAAAATAAATAAATAGAAACAGGTTTCTCCTGGTTAGTCACCTCACCCTCGACTCGTATACACGGGGACTGGACAATGCACTGATGCTCACCTCTTGTTGAAACCCGTCCAGTTGCAGAATGCCCGAGTTCCGTTGATGGATCTTCACCTCGTAGCCCTTTGCGGCCCTGCTCCATTGTGCACCTCCTATGTTGCTCTGGTCCAGGGTAAAGGCCTCGCCGCCGCCAGCCGGCTTCCAGCCAAGACCGTTCTCGGCGAAACGGCACTTTCCACTCTCCTTAGAGAGGTCTAGAAAGATGTTGTCGAAGCTCTCACTGTGGTAGGGGGGCAGAAACGGAAAGAGAGAAAGCACGAGTCAGCATGGTTGCGACGCAAAAAGAAGTTCGTCAGAGCTCAATTCGAGCTAAATGGCCAATCAAACAGACGAGGAACAAGGAGAGGAACCGGAAGGAGAACAAGCTGGCGAGTCCAACTTACATTGCGGCCATCTTAAAAATGCAATACCACAGGCCAACTAAAGACGACTGACGATGGATCTGAGATGTGACAAACGATGTCAGTGGCGCCGATATGGTGATGGTGATGGTTGCGGATGAGGTACAAGAGAGAGAAGTACGCAAGTACGAAAAAAATAGCTGGCAGGACAATTTGCGCCGCACCCCCTCAGATCGCGACTGCCCACCAGGGCCGTGACGCGCTTGCGGAGGCCCGTTTTAATGGAGACCCACTTTTGCGAACCGACTCTGAAGGCGGTGAAGGACCAACCAACGGCGGCAGTAATTATCTTGTCTCGTTTGTGTACATCTTAGAAGATAGTGGCACGTGCGGAGTTTAAATTCAAAAAGCATCTGGAATGCAAACCGCCGCTTTGCGTCCGCAGTACAGCATACAATATACTTCTTTGCTCCTTGGGTCTAACCAGGCGTCATTGTGCCTTTCATCAGATTCTCTTAGTATTTTAAGGTAAGCCACGTTCTGTAGTTAGTTGGCTTGGATTTCCGAACCGGCGACACTCATTTCGCAGTCGTTGTTTATATCGTCACGTGTTTTTGTGGTTCCCTGCAAAATTGGAGTAATCTCATCACGTGGTTTATTTTCTTCAAAACTCGGCCTTCTGGCGAATCAGCGTCGCCAACATCGACTTACACGTAGCCGTCGCATGCACCAGCAGCCTCGTATTTTAGAGTTTTGTGGTCAATTCTCGGCCTGAACTCGTTCTCTTGGAAATGTCTGTCCCTCTAAATCTGTCCCACAACATTGATAATGTTTTTCTTGTGCACTATCTCTTGACTTTAGCTAACCTGGCATAAGTTTCACAGTCCTCGATTCACATATCATGTCAAGCGACCAAACTGGAATCGTTAGGTGTCAGTTTTCTTGACAAAATAGTATACGTGAGAGCAAACGTATGGGTCCATTGATGTACGACCGAATACCGGCTTTAATAGAAGTTCTGTAGGTTTGTTTTTTTAGAAAAAAAAACCAACTTTCGAGGTTTTAAACACTGGAAAAGGCTAAAGGTAAAGAACTTTGAACCTTGAATATTTGCTGCACCTGCTCAAAGTGACAATATTTACTTTTACTATCAGTAACTTTATAGAACCTTAAATTCTTTCCTTTGATATAAAGCCCCGTTTCTTGGCTGTGCGTTTGACTCTGTTGTGTGTTTTATTCATTTCATAACAACCTTTTTTCTTTTCATAATAACCTCTTCCTCACAATGTCATCGCATCCGTTTCCTTCCATTACTGAACTTATTGCTTTCGACACCTTTAGGTATTGCATCCGCACTGTTCTCGTCCGTAGCCAGTCTCAAAATGGCACCCAATCCGAGAACAGCCGCTCTGAATGCAGCTCCAGGTTTGGCTGCAGCCCCATCTTCGACCATGCCACCGAATCCGGAACCAGCCGACGAAACAACTAGCCAACGCATCTTGAAAAACCTCTTCTACCTGCTGTCTTTTCCTATTCCCAACCACAGATTGGACTTTACCAACCGCGAGATTGAACGGGGCGAATGGCTACGGCGGCTGAGCGAAGTCCAGAAAGAAATGTTCGTCTCAGAACATATTCTCACTAACTACCAGCTGACTTGGGCCAGACGAGTACTTTTCATGGTCTTTAGAGAAGCACGCCTTTCACGCACCGCGAATATCTATTGCTACATGCTAATGTACTTTACGCAAGTACCACTGGGCGACGATGTGATAACTTTCGAGCCTGGCTGTCATCAGATTGCCAGTCTGGAGGCCGAGAAAGCATTTATCGAGGTCGTGCCGGCACTTGCACAGAGCACAGTCTACTGTTGTACTCCCATGACGTTCGAAAAGCAGGCACAGATCATTATCGATTCGGCCAAAGAGAGCGGCGTCATCTTCCAAAACCACATTGCCTACATCAACGACATGCTCGTGGCACAAGCCATCAAATACATTAGCGACAGGAATGGCTACTTTAAGGCCCACTCCTGCAGACTTGGGGAATACTGCAGAAATAAACGGGCGTGCAATGGCGGCCCCAAGTTTCCCTTTCTCCCCGAGGCACTTGTTACCGAGCCAGAGCAGACCGTACCAGCCAATGAGTCCGACTATCATAGGCTTCGAAATTCTTACCCGGGCCGCTCAACCACGGACGACATCTATCGCGAAATATGTTACAGAATGAGAAAATTAAGGATTAAAACAATGTATGCTGTCCACAGACATGTATACACCGACCCAAAGACCGCCGCGCCATGGCGTGCAATTTCTAAACCTATACAGCCCAGCACCTTGACTGTGCACAGCGGCATAACAGGGCCTCAAACCGGAGCGGTGGCTTCACAAGCACGCCACACCCAAGCACCGCCACTTGATATCCAAACTCCCAGGGCTAGCAACCCAAAGGGGGTCGTTCAGACCAAGAACTGGGGACAAGGAGCCGTGAACACCGGCGAAGCAACGGCACCTTCGGGCAGTGGCAGCCGCCAAACTCGTCGCCAAGACAGCATTGGGCACGAATGCTTTACGTCGAGCAACTGGAGAAAAAGGGCAGTGGATCCCTCAGCGTTGAAGTCATCGACAGTACAGCCTTTGAGGAATTTATAGGCTGGCTGGACTCTCAGCGCTCTCGCAACTCGACAAACGACCCGGTCTTCCCCGCCGCGCACCAAAATTGACTACGATGGCAATGGCTCTGACGCGACAATTGTTCAATGCGTGTCCTAGCGGCCTAGACAATGTCTCTCTGAAGAGTGTGTCTTTTCTTATATTACTGAAGTCGTGGTGCTCATACCACTTCGTCCAATAGCTGTGTTCTGTTTCCTGTTGCTTGAATCAAAGCTCCTTCCATTTAACAGCACGAGCAGGAACTGCTGTCTTTATTTGATTTCACTTTATTTTTTGTCTGTTTATTGAGCAAGCATTCTTGGAGGGTGCCCCTTGCTGAATAGCTGAATCGCAAATATGAGACCCCAAGCACAAAGAGGGGGACTAATGCGAGACAATTGTTGTTCATGTAGTCAGTTCGTTTGTCAAAGACGATAAGGCGTCAACATTTCCACGGCTGGATTGGAAGCAATATGCAGATTAGAACCCGATATAAATATAAACTATCAACCTGGAACGCCCCGATGCAGCCATGTTCCGTGATATGATACATTGCGCAATGTAAATGGACCAAGACAAAACGAAAGATAACGTAAGAGGTAAAGTCAAGAACAAAACAATTAGGAAATAAAAGTCAGAACTGTATCGCTACTTCGTCAGCTGCGGGAAAGGCTGAGCAGACCATTGACGGCACTGCCACGCATGGCACTGCTTGTTAGACCATCCAAATGGCCCCCGTTCACATCATCCACCAGGAGCCGGTTGCCGCGCGGCGTGGTCAAAATGTTGTGCTTGTTGCTGCTCAACGTTGACTTCTTGGCGGGCGACAAGCGACGGACCCGCGGCATCTGAGGCAGGTCATCGTCGTCCTCATGGCCGTACTCGTCCTCGTCTTCGTCGTCGTCATTGGCCCGAATCAGCTTCGGACCATCCGGATCAGATAGGTCACTGTCTTCAATGACGTCCACCGTGTCCAGCTGATGCCGCGGTTGCTGTGGGAGGGGCTGGGAATCTTGCACATCGTCGTCGCCTTCATCCTCCTCGTCGTCGTCGTCGCTGCTGCTGGTCTGAGTGGCGCTCACTTCGTCGTTACGACCGCGGCTGCTAGGAGCGCCGACCACGCTTGACGAGGCAGGGCCCCACAGCGCCAATCGCTGTCGCAGCGGCGGCTGATGTCTCGCCTGCGAGCTCGCCGGCTCTGCCTCGTGCTTTTGCTCTCGCTGCTGACGCAGCCATTCGCTCGCTGAACACTCCCTTGACAATTGGCCTTGTTGGCGTTGCAGTAGTATTGCCGCCGGCACCACCCGGAGCTGCTCCAGTGGCACGTCAACCTGGCCCGTTCGCACTTTGTACCGGGCCAAACTCAGACGAAGTTTGAGAATCTCTGCTCTCTTTATTGGGGGGGAAGTGATGTTAGGGACTGTGCTGCAATTATGTAAGTCAATATTGGTCTATGGTAACGCACCTGTCGCGATTGTTCTCGCGTCGGCGGTCCAGACGAGCCGGCAGGCCGGGGAGCGTCGATGTCCGGCTCGGTAATGTTGGTGGCCTGAGACGTGTCGACCATGGCGGACAGATCGAAGACGGAGGATGTAGTAGGAGACAGAGAACGCCGAGAGGCGGAGGCAGTCATGGCAACTGCTGGGGAGGCTGTTGTAGGAATCTGGTCGATCTGCTGCTTCTGCTGTTGCTGAGACTGCTTGTCCGACTGCTTGCTATCACGCAGCAGGATTGTTGATGACATCTCCGCGCCGCTCGCGAGACATGTCTTCTTCAGGGGCGTCGTGGAGTCGGCCGGCTCGTTGTCCAGACACGTCTCCGGCAGTGTGCGCTTATGAGCTATGGCACTGCTTGGCGGTGACAGTGGGAACTTGCTCTCGACAGCTACTGGCTTGCTTGCGACGGAAATGGGCGAGGCAGACACGCTCGCGTTTGCGTCGAGGGGTGCCAGGACGCGTCGTTTCACGGGGGAGGCCATTGCAAAGCCTAAGATATAAGGAGTTTGTATATAGATGAGGAAATCAGGCCAGAGCTCGAAGAGTGTAATCCAGCCACCAACGCGTCTTGCAGCAACAAACACAAGGCGAGTAAGAAGAAAAGGCGGGTGACCCAAGAGCGTGTGGGCGAATGCACGTGTTGTTCCAACACCAGAGAGAGACTTTGTAAGTGGCTCTGATTAAAGAAAGGCGTGCCGACGATCAAGAAACGAGAGGGAAACAAAACGTATTCCTTTGACGGTTACGTCTAAAAAGAGTGACTGGGAAAAGTAGAAGAGCGTGAGGGCAGAAAGAAAAACGAAGAAGGACGGAAAGAACGACGAACGACGCCTCTTGCCGTTGTATATGAAAGCCAATACTCCGTATACATGTCAGTCGCGATTCTGAAGGCGTGTTTTGTTTTCTCCACATTACGGGCTTCCCTGCACGTTCTTGACCCAGTTCGTCGTGGCGCATGGCCTGACGACCTCCCTCTTTTACCACGTTCAGAGCGCTATGGATAGCCTACAGCGCCCTACTACAGCGCGGTTACGGCCAGTCGCGACTTTCCAGCACATTGGTTGGGTCTGTTTGCCCATTTAATTTGGGGGCAGATGCCCACTGGAAACAGGGCCCCTGGAAACGCCTGCTTGGCTGCAGTCGCGTCTTTCACAGTGGGCATGGGCCACTTGCGAGACGTGTGTGGCGGCAAGTCCCACCTACCGTATTCGCCCCTCCTCTGCGACAGATCATTTGGCAGGGTAAAGAACCACACGCGACAGGGGCCATCACAACACGAACCTGAAGGACCCCTGGGCTATTAGTGGACGAGTGGGACAGGCGTGAACGCGCTTGTAGCCACTAGAAGCCTTCAGTCTAGGGGGGCCTTCGGGCGCTTCCCAGAATCCATCGTGTGTAATATAAACACAGCCCTGTTAGAGAAACTGAATCCAAGGTTTGACGCGACTTGACTTCTGTTCTTCTACAAGCCTCGAAAGATGCACTGTACGACATACTTATGTTATATGCAAATGCGCACCACGTAAGACGTGCACTCACTGCCGATCGCAAATCACGGTTGGGCAAACGATGCTTGTCAAATCTACGTTGGTAGGGGAGCATGTAAGAAACGACATCCGTTGAGCGGATACTATAATAGGGACGAAAGAGTTTGTAAATCGTCGGCCGACATCTCTCATTCCTGTCTAGTTAAGAGTTTTAAGAACTATCCATACGAATCCGTGAATATGTCATCCACTTTGTCCTATAATCTACAACGGCTTTACACAGTCCAAATCAACAAGAATTAAGCATGATCATCCCATGCATCCCAATTGCCACGTTCAACAGCAAAGGAAGAAACATATCGTCTCATAGCACAAAGAAATTCGTGATGAAAGCCCATGGTGGCGATCGGAAAGCTGGCCATCAAAACACACGCATCGAGAACTGAAGCAGACAAAGAATATAAAATAAATAAGAATCATGACGAACGACCGAAATGGCCACCGTGGTGGGCGGGGAATAAAGAAAGAAACACATAAAACGAAACGCAAAGTATAACCTCTGTAAGACAAATAAAGAAGAAGCAAAAACAAGCCAGGTCCAACGCTTCCATATCCCTCCAGTGTTTCGTAAAACTTTTGTCGACCTCGCATAATTCAAGTTGGTCGTCATGTCATGGACAGTTCGCCAATGAGAGAAATAATAAAAGCAAATGAAATGAAAAAAAATTAAGAGAGTACAATGCTGGTAAACGCACATAAAGCAGAAACAAGGCTTCATAGCTTAGGACGCACCAAATGAGTACAGAGAAGGGTCAAGCTCGACATTCGTCTTGTTGAACATCGACACCATGTCTGTCTCCTCATCGCCGAAACCACTAGGACCATCGTTCAAGAACATTTGTGTTAGGTTGGCCGTGTCGGTCTCATCGATTGCGGCCATATTGAACTTTTGCATATCGTCGAGCATGGAGGGGATGATGGTGCCATCCTCGGCCGTTATCCACATGTCCATGTTCAGGTCGAGGTTGGTCGACTCCAGGTTTTCGCTTGTCGGCTCCGAAGCCCACCCGCTATCGGTCCTCGACTCAGGCGTGTCGTTAGGCGTGATCATGCTGCGATATACGCTGAAGTCGGCAATCGCGCCCTGGGCCGCAGTATCTGCAGCGAAGCTGAACGTCGAGGCAAGATCCTGTGGATCAACATTGGCAAAGTCCCATGCGTCGCTCAATGACGCAGACGCCAGCAGCACGTCTGTGTCGATGCTGGGCGCAGAACCCTGGAGACCGCTGTCCGAAAGCTTGGGAGTGGTGCTCGGCCCATTGCCGGTGGAGCCCTTACCAGCCACAGCCTTTCCACCAGATGCTTGCCGGTTCATCGACGTCACACGAGACATCGGCGTGACTGGTGTGAGACCCTGTTTCGATGAGGTAGCGTTCGTTCCAGTGTTCACACCATTGCCACTCGTTTTCGCATTGCCTAGCGCGTCCAGACCGAGTGCGTCCGTGAGGGCGTCGCTGACAAACTTGAACGGGTCGGCAGCGGGCTTGATATGTTCCTCTTCAATATGGGTACGACGAGCCTCCTCCGTAGCAAATCCAGTCGACTTCATGTCGCAGTCGTTTTCCGTGCAGTAAAACAGTGACTTGGCGGCTTGCTGAGCGGCAGCGGCTGTAGACTGGGCGGCAGCGGCAGCCTTTGCTTCCGATGCCTGCCTGCGCTTGACCTCAGGAGAAGCCTTTGCCGAAGGAGTCGATGCCGCGGGCGTCTGCGCAGTGATAGGCGACGCAGCACCCGCCTGGTTGTTCGTCTTCCGGCGTTTTGTCGTAGGCAAATGCAGAGTCTCTTGGGTCACGCTCGGCTTGCCGATGTAAGCAGGCTGGCCATGGGGAGACGCCCCGTGAAGAGGGAATGGAGGTTGGGCCGTTGTTGGTGCTGCCGGCGGTTGGTGGTTGGCCTTGCTGTTTGATCGCTTATGCTTGGCCTGCGTGCGCGGGGTTTCCTCCGCTGTGGTTTTGGCAGTGGCAGCAGTTGGCTGAGCTTGAGACGTCGCGGCAGAGGCGGATGCGTTCCGACCCTGCTGCGACTCCTGGGGCCCCGTCATTTGTTGCCCGGTCTGGCCAGCTTGGAGCTGGGCCTGGTTCGCATGGGCCCGCACAAAATTCATTGCCTCCTTGGCCATATCCATCAACAGGTTCCGATGTGACTCAATTTCATCCAGAGTAATAGAGAAATTCTCCTTGCGGCCAGCAAGTGTATCGGGGTTGACAAATTGTTGCGAAAGACGGTATCTCTGTGCAAAGGAGAAGAAACAGTGTTAGTGAATGTGGACAGGTTTGACAACGCGTTTGACCAAGGAAGACAAATCATAATGGTAAAGCTTACAGTTCGGAAGAATTTGCGAGTGCGGACTTCATCGTGAGTCGCCAGGTAGAAACGGCTAAGGGCGCGGCCGACCTTGAACAGGGGATCGACGGTCTCGAGAATCTTCTTCCACACTTCGTCCTTCTCCTCGGCGGTCATAGGAATGTCAGGGAACTGTTCCTTGTGTATGTCCTGTTTCACTTCATGGCCAATTGCTAACAGGTGCTGCATAGTTTCAGAGCCGGGCTGAAGGGCAGATGCTACAGCTTGCTGGCGTTGGCGAATCGTCTCCTGTTGCTCAGGTGTGAGCTTGGCAAATTGCTCTGCTGTCATATTCGGAACCGGGCGCTGCTGCTGCTGCTGTGGTTGCTGTACGGCCTGTTGCTGAACCTGCACAGACGGCGACTGTTGAGGCTGAGCAGCGGAAGTGGCATTGGACGAATCGTCAGTCGTATTGTTATTAGCAGCTGCTGCACGCTTGCGGTTGGCAGCAGCAGCACGGTTCTGCTGTGCCTTGCTCTTCGCACCGGTCGCAGCCGCGGGGGCCGGAGTCGTCTGTCCAGTAAATGTCGGCGGAGCCGCTGGCGCCTGGCTCGTTGGCTTCTGTTGCACAGCAGGGTTTTGGGTGACAGCCGCGGCAGCGGCCGCGGCAGCTGCACTTGGGTTTTCAAGTTGACCACCTTGTTGCTGAAGCATGAGATTGTGCTGCTGCTGCTGCTGCATCTGGAACTGTTGTTGCAACTGTTGTTGAAGCTGCTGTTTCGTCTGCTGTTGCTGAAGCTGTTGCTGTTGCTGCTGCAGAGAATTATGAAGTTGCAGCTGTGGCTGTTGCTGCTCCTGTAGAGGATTTTGAAGTTGCTGCCGCAGTAGTTGCTGCTGTTGCAAGTTCAAGGGCTGGCCAACTCCCGGCTGCTGTTGGGCCAGCTGGGCTTGTTGGGCTTGCTGAAGAACATTCAAGGGGACCCCATTCTTGGCCTGCTGCTGCATGTAATGCTTGATAATCTGTTCATGCTTCATTCGTGCGCCGAACTTTCGAACAATATCCTCGGAAACATTAGCAAGCTTGGGATCTCTTACACGAAGCTGTGCAACCTCGGCAGCAGTGATGGTGAGCATGCTGGCCGGGATATTTGGTAAGGTGCCGGCCATCTGCTGCATATTCGGACCAATTGGCTTGTTTCCGTTGGCATTTGCGTTGGCATTTGGGCCAGCTGCAACAGGGGCGTTTGGAGGCTGCATACCAGGAGGGCCAGGCCGTTGTTGTTGACCGCCCTGCTGCTGTTGCGTCCGCTTCTCGACCAGCTGCCTAAACTGCACCATCTGGAAGTTTGACAGCTGCGCTTTGACAGGATCTGGCAAGCTATTCTGCGCAATCCAGATCTTCAAGTCACGCCATTTCTTGACCTCCGGAGGCAGGCTGAATTGACTGGACACTTGCGGCGGCAAATCCATGCTATCCATAATAGCTTGATGCTGGGGGCGCATTTGTCTCGGACCCTGGCCTGCCTGGCCCATGTTCTGTGGCGGGATTCCCATCGGCTGTTGAGCAGTCATACCAAACTGGTTTGCCTGTACACCAGCCTGTTGTTGCTGCTGTTGCTGCTGTTGCGGTTGCTGCTGGTTGACTTGACCAGGGCCCAGCTGGCCTTGGCGGCTTTGCTGCTGCTGCATTTGGGCAGCGGCGGCAGGGTTATTCTTGGTTTGATTCATTCTTAGCTGTTGCTGTTGAGCCCATCTGGCCATGATCTCGTTCAACTTCTCTGGGGGGAGGCTCGAAAACTTCTCCCTTTGCTCAGCTGACATAGAATTGATCATGTTCTGGAAATTGGGATTGAGGTTCTGGTTGAAACGAGGGTTGAGCTGTCCCGTAAATGTTGGGCCACCCTGTGCCATTTGTCGTTGTTGTTGCTGTTGCTGCTGTTGCTGTTGCTGCTGCTGCTGTTGCTGCTGCTGCTGTTGCTGTTGCTGCTGCTGCTGTTGCTGCTGCTGCTGTTGCTGAAGGGTCGCCTCGCCTTGCGCAGTGGCCTGGCGAGCCATGGGCGTGCCTAAGTTGCCAATTGCCGGACTGTGGCCCATTACACTACCGGGCTGGCCTTGTAATTGTTTTGCGCCCTGCTGTTGTGCCCGCTGCTGCTGGTTCTGCATATTGGCAGCGCCAGAAGCATCAAGACCCATCTGGTGCATGTTGAATCCTTGCTGCATCTGGGGACCACCACGCTGGAGCTGGACGCCTTGCTGAGTATTAGGATGTCCTTGGTTACCAGCCATACCAGCAGCATTGTTCGGAGCAACCGGAGCACCAGCCATTGGCGGCTGTGGCGTGGGGTTGCGGCCAGCTTGTGTACTCGCCGGGACAACAACCTGACCAGCCTCTTGGGCAAGAAGTGCAGCTTTGTGCTCGTTCATGATGCTTTCCACGTTGGGACCGAAGGGGTATTGTGCGTTGCGTTGTGCACCCGGGCCAGAAGCGCCAGCAACGAGGGCACCGCCTTGGGCAGGCCCGCTGACACCCATCATGTTCGGGTTCAAAACACCACCGGCCATTCCATTTTGCTGTTGTTGCTGCTGCTGAAGTGCTTGCTGTTGTTGAAGCTGTTGCATCGGGTGCTGGCCGCCAGGCATATTAGGATTAGCAACACCTGGTTGCGTTCGTAGATTGCTGGCTTTTTGGGTCAGGACGTTGAGTGCCTGGATCTGGAACATGTGCATCAAAACATCCTTTCCGCTTTGCTGGAGGTTCTCAATTGTTTGCGGGCTGACGCGATTCTGCATGTTGGCCAACAGGTTTCTTTTGGTGTTGTCATCCGCGCTCATATAAAGGCGATTCGCAAACTCGTTCACTTTTTGGCGATCTTGTTCCGTCAGTTTCGAGAGGTCTATTCCGCTTTGGCGTACTTGGTTCAAATTTTGCATGTTCTGCAAGTTCTGTTGCTGTTGCTGCTGTTGGTTCGGTGCCATCTGCATGCCGACTCCATTTTGGCCCATAAGACCAGCGGCGCCCATTTGCTGAGGGTTTTGCTGCGGAATTGGCGATGCCTGCATGGGGTGTTGCAAGTGCTGAAAACTTTGAGGGTTTTGGCCAAAGGCCCGGAGTTGAGGGTTCATGAGAAGTTGCTGTTGCAGTTGCTGCTGCTGAGCCGCCTGTTGTTGCGCTGCCGCTTGTTGCTGCAAAAGTGCCTGCTGCTGGAGCTGCTGGTTGTTCATGTCGTTTCTGATATTTTGCTCGTTGGACTGGCGCTTGACAAACTGCTCCTGAATTTTCGTAGTCATCTGCTTCTCGTACATCGCCTAATTATGTTGTCAGTAGTCCCGTTCACGAACAGTGAGGAGGTAGTGAACAATGAGAGTTACAACTCACCCTGTCCGGCATTTCCAGGTAGGCTTTCCGCTCAAAGTCGACACCGGCCTGCAATGCCTTTTGCCAGTCGATGCCTGGATTTGCAAGAATGATGTTCGTGACCCTTTAAATCAATGAACGTTAGAAATGTTGAAATATAGCCGTCTCCAATGACAAGACCTGCGATGCGACAAACACCGAACGAAAGTGATTCCGAAGGATAAGAAAAGGCGATGAGGAAAACAAAGTAAGAGTGAAAAAATATTGAGCTGAGGTCGTTGCTATTTTCAGGCCCGACGGTATGGGGGGGCCATCAGGAACCTTAAAACGGTACAAAGTACATGGTGACTGAGCAAACATAGTAGGCGAGACGCGCAAACCAATTATCGATACTATGCACAACAACGGTGCAACTGTAGCGCCAACGAGGTGAGGGGGGAAGGGGAAGGGGAATCACCTAGGAACCGAAATTAAGAATGGAAGCAAAAAAAATAAAAGAAAAAAACTTACAGGTTCACCGTCTTGCCCATCCGCTCCGTGAGCTGCACACCGGATCGCCATCCATTGACAACGGGTGTGTTTGCCACTAGCTGCTGGTAGACAATGGCCATCAGGTGATTGGGGATGCCATTTCTCCGCTGCTGGGCCTGCTGCTGGAGCGGCATGCCCATCTGCTGCTGCATGTTCATATTGGCGGCCATTGCCGCAGATTCAAAGGCGGTGGACAACCACGCCTCGGCCTATTCAGGTGGAAGTCGATACGCTGTCGGTCAAGTTGTGGCGGCAAAAGAGGTGCAATGCTGCCAGGCCCAAAGGATATTATATCGTACAGCGAATCGCGAAAATCGAGACGCTAGAAGCAGAGGTGGTCCCAGGACAGGATGACGAAATGGAAATCGGGAATAGAGGTAGAGTCAACCGTTCGTTCTGCTATGTCGACATGTGAAGCGCCGTATAAGATTGCCAGTCGTCCGCGTCTTGGTTCGCGTTGTCTGAAAGGTATTCAAATGAGCCGCCCGTAAGATGAATAACAAGGCGGAAAAAGAAGCGGTCACCGTCTAGTCACGCGGTGTGGTCGAGCTAACCGCAACTCAAAACTGCACAAGCCACGAAGAGACAGGCCCGCTGGCGACGAAGTGCGGATTCGTTTGGGCGCGCAGAGGCGTAACCATATTCTCTGGAACAGCGCGACAGGAGATGTTTGGAAACAAGGCGAGAGCGACACGGCCGTTTGCGTCGTCCGAAATCCTGCGTCGTGGTAGCCGTTGATTGCTTTGTGTCGTCGACGGGAGTCGGCGGGTCGTTGAGAATGGAACCGAGTATCGTCAAACGGCGGCAGGTCGTAATCGCGTAAAACGTTCCAATGAACAGAACAAGCGAAGGGTCGAACAAGATACGGAAATAACAATAAAAAGGGTATCTGAGGAAGAGAATCGAGGGTATTCAAAGAAGCGGTAGAAAACGAAAAGCGCGGCGCGAGAACCTGAGAGGGTCCGCGACAGAAGGGGTAACAGAGGACGAACGTTGGCGCCGGGCTTAGTATTCGTGCACGCACGCTCACAGCGGGGCCGATCGTAGGTTGTTGACGGGGTGGTCGGCGGTCGCCAGTCGACAAGGACGGGAGAAAAGAAGACGATGGGCGTCGAAGGACAGAAAGAAAGAGTGACGAAGAGGAAAAGAAAGGTTGAGGTCCCGAACAAGGGAAAGCGGAGAAAAGAGGTTAGAGGTTTGCGTGAGAGTGGAAAAGAGGGAGAGGCGATGGAGGAAGGGTGCAGGAGCAGGCAAGAAAACCGGGGGGGTGGAGAGAAGGACAAGGGAAAAGGGAACGGGCAAGGGGCATGCGTACATGAGCAGCCTCCGTCACAGCACACAAGGGAAAGAAGCGTAAAAGGCTGGCCTTTGAGGGTCGGGAAGGGGGGGGACGTGTGTACGACGTGCCTATTGGTGGGCCAAGTCTGCTGAGCCAGGGAAAAGCGTTTTTTGTGCGTGAGTACGTTCGAGGGAAAGACAGCCCAGCCGGTGCTCGGTGTTGCTTTGGTTGCTTGCCCAGCGTAAAAATTGCAGGGCAAGCCAACGCCCGCTGTAAAGTGTGAGTGTGAGGCAGCCGCCTACAGTGGAGTTTGGTGAGAGCGACAGAGAAGGAGAGGAGGGTGGCTCAGGCTGGAAGAGGTGGGAGAGGTGGGAGACGCCCTAAATTTTGAGCTGGGTAAGATAAGTCCCACACCCAGCTAGGAGGTGCTCAACGGTCCAGAGTCTAGAGCGTGTTGGCGCTGGCGTTGGAAGATCACTGAAGGACAGAGCGGCGCTGGCGGCGGAACGAACCAATTTACTGCCGCTAATTCTGGGGCATAGCTGGCTGGCGCCGCTGGATAGGACCCTAAAACGTGAGACTTGCAACCTGAAGCTGTGTTCGGTGCACGGAGCAGGTACCATTGAAGTATCTTTTTTAGTGCCACAGAGTTACTATGATTCTCGGGATGTTACGCGCTACCGACGCAGCAGACTTCCTCGACATAAGATACATATGGCGATGTGGTGGCTTGTGAGTGGCATCTTCTTTTAGCTGTAAGGTCAGATTTCTTCCGTCTCCATATGTACTGTTGATCTGAAAAGAAGATGTGATAATCGGGAGGAGAAAAATATATGACGCATTCTAATGAATAACCTCTTCGACCGGGATACAAAAGTCTGCGACCGTTCACATCTACGGCCTGTCCTTTTCGCAGGCTAGCATTGGCACCTGAAAAGAGAGGCGGTACAAATCACACCGATGGCAACTTGTCGTTTTTCGTGCGTTTAGACGACATGGATATATGCACCAGACACTATCTCCAGCGTCGGACTTAGAAATATGAGGACGGCCCTCCGAAAAAAAACTCCCTTCATGAACCATGGACCACGCTGACGGCGCCGGTGGACGAATAGGGTGTGAAAGTGTCGATGCTCGTAACCACACAGTCATACCATAAAAAGTGTTGTGCAGTTGTGTATTTCGAATGGCAGACAGGGTCCGTGTGGGCATGACTTACCAGGACAAGATTTACTCGCTGGCGCCGATACCTTCGAGGTACCTCTCTAGCTCGCCCGTCCGCTCCAGACCTTGGACCCACACCACCCACACCCAATACACAACACACATACATCGTAGGAACGTCCCACGCCAAACACGATTACGCACCCCTCCCCTGTTCCTTTTGTTCGCCAGACGTCCCAGTCTCGTCTGCGAAGAGAAAGATGCCTCGCTGTTCATCGCCTTTTCTGCTGTCCCCATTCCCGAAGTACGTGCATGTACGTGCCCCTGGCCCCCCTGTCTGCTCACCGTCTGTTACCCATTTCGGTGTTGCTGTGTCGTAGGGAAAAGAGACAAGGGTATGCCAGGGAAAAGTGTTAGACGCAGAATTAGAAGAGTTGTTGTCGGAACTGTGAACAGACGAAGATCACTTGCAAGAATCAACTCTACCAAAAACAAAAAAGGCCCTGGCTAAACATGTAGACATTCTGTAGACTTGGCTAACAGTGAGACCGTTCGAATAATCGCCATCACCAGGAACCAGGGCAAACTCTGATCGGCCAGGCGCCACGCAGTAATCACTGGTAGTGCGAACGACAAATCGAGGTTCTTGGCCTACGACGTACGTAACAGGAGGCGGGTGAACGTGATGCTGGGAAGTTCCTTGGTATTCTTTCAACGATGATACATGAAACCGTCGAGAGCTCTATCAAATAGTACAGGATGAGAAGCTTACGAGATTTCACTTGTCAATCTCATGTTTTGCTGTGCCGACTTTATATGGTGGAGACGGAAAATAAGACCAGGTGAAGCTCGCAAGACACGCCAGTAGTCGCCATACATACACACAAAAAAAGAAGGTTTGGACTGGGTCGAGGAACGATGTGGTGTGGGTCATGGATAATAATATGGGGGCTCTTTGTGGCTGCCGTGCAGATGCAGCGTCCAAATTGAGTATAATGGCCCCCGTGTAATGGCCCCCATCTGCCACGCCTGTCCTCCCTTCTCCCCTCTCCCTCGCTCTCCCGTCGCCATCCTCATTAGGACATACGCGGATTGATTCACTTGAAATACAAGGTAATTAGAGCGTTGAGGAGGCCAAGCTGCGCCGTTACTCAGTAGACATTAGATATCCACAAAGTCGTACGTTATCTTCGTACTTTGTTGCCAGATAACAAAGGAGGAATCATATTGACAAAGGGTGAAAAGAAAAAGGCAATCAGAATGCATTCCAAGACGTCCAGCCAAATTTGCGTATCTGCCGGGTTGCAGATAGGATGGACAGCTGCCAAGGTCCGTCCAGGACCAATTGGTACAGTCGTAAAGGACTTGCGGTTAACTATGAGAGAGCGAATAAAGCCAGACATAAAGGGACGCGCAAGAAATGATCAGGCTGGCCCGCGATGCAGATAGACAAACGTATCAATGACTTCAATTTTATCCTGTCAGCAACTCACAGAATTGGAAAGAAAGCAGCACGGTTCTTTGCACTTTCTTATGCTTTGTTTCGCCAATTTCTTTGCAGACTACAAGAGCAGGTCAAGACTGTCGCCATCCGGCGATTATGTGTCCTCGACAATCCCGCCGCCGAAACCTCCCTCTGCTTCTGTTCTACTCGTGGCCAGATGTGGTCAAGGATTTGTGTAGGGTAAGGCGCGCAAGCAACCCATCTTGCCTTGAATGGGTCCTGAATCCCATCGTCTAGAAAGGAACGAGTCCATCCCATACGCGTGGTCTGGTATCTTGCTTTGTACGTGACTCCACGATGCAAAAAGCTGTGCCACGCATGCTTTTGGTCAAACCGTTGGCGACTTTGGTCTGAAGTCAGATACAGTGGAAATATCCGCGCGGGCTGCCGACTGTTTCATCTCGTACTGCCGGGGTTGAGAAGAGGCAGGAGCATCTGCGAAGCCCGGTAATACTGAACACACTTGCCTCGTTCCAAATGTCGAGGTTTGTTTGCACATATCGTCAGCTCGCACCGGCCTCGTTGTTCGAAACAAATAGGAAGGCGTGACCTCACATCCTCCCCATAAAGTCTGCGCAAGATTCCTGTCCCGTGCCTCGAAAGGCTTTCGAGCGGCGTTAGAGTGGGAACAACAGGGCAGAGGGACAAGAGGCTAGACAAGGGGTCACTTGCGTGTGTGGATCACGCTTGCCTCAAACGGGTTTTTGTGGTGTGGAACTGGTTGTCTTGACCTGCAACCCTCTACGTCTGCTTCCTTCCTCTTTGCCTTTTGCCAGGGTCTGATCCCGCCCTCGACAAAATTGAACCAGCAGTGTATGCTTGTCATGGCATGCGACAACCCATGCCTACCTGAATGCCAGATGGACGATGCATACGGACAACAGCATACACATCGGACAAGGGCTGTTGCCGGACGAGGTTTGCAAAAGAAACAAAAGGAGACTGGAAACAGACGACGTGCTTCGACAAGGCGGGGGACAAACGACGAGAAGCAAAACAGACCGAGAAAAAACAGACTATGCGGGTATGAGAAATAAATGACCTGCCCACCCCTTTATTGTACCTGCTGTCGCTTTTCTTCTTCATCTCGCGTCTGTGGCCTGTTGTTCTCCTTCCCTGTCCCTCTAACCGTCATCAGTTACCTGTGTCTACCATGCACTCCCCTTGCATAGCTTCGAGCATGCTAGAAAAAGGGCTCGCCTATCATCCAATATGTGTTTAAC